GAGAGAGAGAGAGAGAGAGAGAGAGAGAGAGAGAGAGAGATTGGTGACTTTGGGACTTGAAGACACTTGGATCCAGACTCGACATTGGGATTCAGACATTTGATGAGGGATTATTTGGGACCTGTACCGAAGACTTGGTGTTGACGGCATTCCCATCTTCCCCTCTTCTTCGTCTAACCCCCCTCTTCTTCGTCTGTGTATGGTTGAGGACTGGCGCATTCTTCCTGTGTGAGCGCCAGGCCCCTTCACACCATGGAATGATGATGATGTATGTCTGGTCTGCATTGCAACTTTGATTGTTCGGATCATTGGTATTTAAGCCTTCCGCTGTGCTATCTTGTACTATGTGAGAGAGGTCGGTTCTTGTTCTGGTCTGCACCTTTACAGTATGCGACACTGCACGTCCGTGCATGCACGCAGCACCAGCGCTAGCGCAGCAGGCAGCCCGCGAGCAATCGCTCCAGCAGCGCTGCCGCCCGCAATTGCAAGTGCCCGAATGTCCAGCCCGGAGCCCAGCCCTTTCCTATATGGACAGTGGTGGGCTCTTTTCACTTGCCTCCCACGTGAGACCGAGTTTCCTGTAGCTTCAGTCTCGGCCGAAGTGTCTGTGCCCAGGCCCGTTCAGACAGTGGCCTGGGACCGAATTGGTTAGGCATGCCCAACCGCCAAGGCACAAACGTGCGGCGCTCCCTGCTTCGACCACGTTGCTGGAAGAGCCTGTAAGGCTCACGAGAATTTTGAATTCTCTCGAGCGAGGCGGATGTAACCAACTTGCGCGTGGCAACTGTCTGGCGCTCACCAAGATTTGCAAAAATGATGAACTCATGGCACATCGGGGTTCAGGGGGCCCGCATTCACCTAGGGCAGGTACACGTTTGCTTCAAGGCCTTAGCCGAGGGGTAAAACCCTCGCAAATGGATTAATTTCAATTCTATTTTGGTTCTAAGTGCTTCCGCTGTGTATTCTCTCATCCTGTGTGGCATGATTTGCTCTCTCCAAGATCTCTTGTCATTGAGCATGTGTATGAGAACGTGTGGATGCCATGCTGTATCTCATTTCAATCAGCCAAATAACACCGCTATATCTTCAAACAGAGCACTGGGCTCTACCTCATTTGCGGTATGCAAGTTTGGGCGACATGCTGCTTGAGCAAGAGCTGGACTTCAGGGCTCTACCTCCTATCATTGGTCTTTTGCTGGTGTATATCTTCTTCTTTTTCTTTCTTTCTTCTTCTTTCTTTCTTCTTCTTTCTTCCTTCTTCTTCATCTCTCTCTCCTCTCAAGTTCTTTCATTTCTTTTGTAACTGGACAGCATTGTGCTTTCTCGTGAATTTTGCACTTCAAAATTGGCCAGGATCTTAACATTGGTATCGAAGCAGATTCTACTTGCTGGCGAGAGTTACTTTTCTGCCCTAACCCTAACCCAAGTGGTTGAGGGCACCACTTAGGGTTAGGGTTGGTTCGTGAAGGGCAGTGGCGCAGTGTGGTGTAGGGAAGCTGTTTGAGTGTAAGTTAGGGGTGGCGAGACACTTGGAGCATTGTGGCACAATTTGTGAGAGGTGACAGTGAGAGGCACCCACAACTGGAATCTGGACTTCAAGGAAGACGTTGGGCGACTTTAGGGCTCCCCTCAAGTTGGCGAGCTTGAGGGTGCATGTTGCTACTTTGGTCTTCAACATCGACGGGGGATCCGGTGTTGTACATTGGGGCAAGGTAGACCCTCCTAGGTGTTAGGACACCAGTGAAGAGGTTGCTGATTGGTCAGGAGGACCATATGAGAGGGGGGTGATAATTACTTCATCTCGAAGCTCAGGCCATTCAGGTAAGTGCCGTGCACCTACGGGATGTCCATGAGTGTCTGTGCATGGTAATGATGTCCTGTTGGGGTTGATTCTGGGTTTCTTTTCCTACTCCTCTATGGTCTTGATTGTGTGCTTGAGTGTTTAAACCGCTTTCTCAACTGATGAGTGGATGGATGGAGTATCTTGAACAGAGCGCCATATCTTTCTACAGTGCTTTGTCTTTTCATTTCTGAACAGCTGTAGTTCGTAGGTTCTCTCTGAAGTTGACATTCGTTTTCAGTTGTTAAAGACAAATCTGGCTGTAAGGAGCAAAAAGTAGGTCCTCGTGGAACTCTTCTTAGTTGGGACCTGGCCGCAACCTACCTGGGACCTCTGGGACCAGTGG